GTGAATTAGGGGTTTTAAAGACAAGTTTAGGGTTGGGAACATAGATGAACCTAAAAGAGATAAATTGAAGTGAATAGTTCAAGCTCTTGGTATGTACATTTGTTTTCTTGCATGAGTTTTGAGAATCTCCATGGCTTTTGGAATTGGAACTCAACATATGCATAGTTCTTGAGTTTTGCTATTAAATTCAAGGTCTTGATCTTTAAGTGGGAATTTGAGTTTTGTTTTGAAGTATGGCCTTTGTTTGAAGTTAGAAATGTTTAATTCAACATGTTTTAAAGGGTTTTGGACCTTGATTTGCATGAAATTGAAGTTGATTGTGCAAAAGGGAAAGTTCCAACTTAAAGCAGATTTTCGGATAGCTTTTGGCCCATAACTACACGTGCAGCAAAGAGTCCCGCACATGTAGAAAACAGAGCACAAAAATCTGAACATTCGGCTAAAATTGCACATACGGACACACGTGCGGTAGAGATTCCGCCCCTGCAGCAAGGGCCTCCGCACGTGCAGTTTTCAGAGCAGTTTTTCGGTTTTGTTTTCTTTCCGTTCATCCACCTTCTGGGCCTCCGTTTGCATGGTTTCACATACAATTCACATGCATATGCATATCATGAACACGAAAGAAATTAAAGAATGAATAGGAATAACTGAACAATCAGGTAACAAAAGAACCAAATAGGTTTAAGAACCTTAAACCAATTGAATGAATGAAATATGTTTAAAGACGTTGTGCTTGAATGTATTATGCAGGACACTTGCACGAGGAGTACCATCCGACTAAGTACTGTGAGTAATGTCTTTGTAGAGATATTCTTGTATAAATGACTTTAAAATGGCTATACTATACAATGTTGTATGAAATTTATGCTTGGTTTATGAAATGTCTAACGTGGTAAGTATTTTCTGAAATATTAAGTTATGCTATGAAATTTCGAAAATAATTATGATATGATAGGTTTTCTGAGCACTTATGTTTGATAAGAATGAATGAGATTCCATTTTTTATTAACGAATATGACACTCGTGAATACATGCTTCGGTTACAATGATCAATCCATAATGGTCGTTATGTATACGTCAACCTGTTGTTGTTGTTATGTATAAGTCGATCATTGTGATCGTTATGTCTTTGTCGATCTATTGTGATCGTTATGTATATGTCAATCCGTAGTGGTCGTTATGCCTATGTCCTCGGCCCATTGTGATCATTTTGCTAATATTTTGTTATGTACTATTGGGTTATACCACCAGATGTAAGGAACTCGGAACGATTTGATGAACTGTATGAATTCTAAACATATTTGTTTGATAAACGCTTCGTTTCGTCGTGAACGTTCTGTACAGTTTGTTGTCAAAGGTTAATAATGCTTTTGGAAATGTACTGCTCTATATGTTAAACTATGGAAGGGTTGTTGAAGGTTTAAGAAACCTTATTTATTATTACAAGTATCTGGAAAATGCCTTGATTGTGTTAAAAACATTGTTTTGACTTTATAAGTTATGGATCTCATTCATTTAACCTCTTGACATTGAGATTATTCATTGGGCTCTACCTCACTATTTTATATGTATGTAGGTGATCAAGCTCAAGACCAGACCTAGTGGCATTAAACTACTCTTTGTTTAGTCAAGCTAACTCTTGTGACTCGCTGTGAGGTTTCGAACGGTCAAGCATCATGGTTTCTCGAGTGGTGGTTTAGAACTCACCCTTCAGTCTTGATGATTAAGTGATTTTGAGGCTTTTTATGTTTAAGACTTTTGTTACGAATGATTTTTGTATTGGGATTTAATCCCTAAGTTATATATTTGTTTTCGTGCATAAGCTTGTCATGGATATGTGTGAATGTGTGTATGTATATTTAAGTCTTTACAGCTTATTGGACATTATATTTAGTATTTAAAGGCTTCTGCCAGACCCTAGTACTGAGTTACTGTTAGGCTGGCCTTTGATAATTTAGGATTACTAGCTGGTTACGACGCTAAATCCATAGGGGCGAATTTGGGTCGTAACGAATAGATTTCCAACATATGTGTCATGAATGACAATAAAAACTACACATCTACATATGACCCACTTTTTTGTTTTCAAACACAAAATATTTTACAAATTAGCATTGTAAGGTCATATCTTCACACCCAAAGTCAAACTCATGTACCTACGATAATCACGTCGGACACAAATTGACATATTATCCTAACCCTCATTCACCATATGCACTTGAATACCTGCAAACAAAGTTAAAGCCACATTCACATTATACACAAGGATGGGTATAAAGAATAATGTTAGGTTTTCTTCCAAAAAAAAATGAAATTGGTGTTCAAATTGTTGACTTCTAACTGAACCCAACATTATCAAAAACCCTAGCATAATGGTTGTATGTAATTATCAAAAAAACACATAAAAAGTACTTACTTTTCTTGCCTATCATGTATGCCTATGTTTTAGTTGGTGTATCGAATTCCATAGATGCCAAGTAGTTACAATCTCAATCGAAGATGAATGTGGTTATGGTGCTTGTAACAACCCCGACTCATGATTAGCGCTAATTCATGTTTAAGTATGTCAAATAAGTAATTAAGAAGAAATCATGAGTTAATTATATGTGTATTGCATCATTTTTTGTTTATATCTGTTTGACGTAGAAAAACCTGTTCATGTTTTAGTTTCGATTTGCGAATTAAAGGCCTTATCGACATCCGATTCAGAAATTGACTTGATTTATATGTTAATTAGGATTTATAGGATTTTATGGTAAGTTTAATTAAAAGTTGATTCAGAACGATTAAATTATAATAATTAATGTCAATTAATCAATCAACTCTTGATTAAGCCTAGATAAGGCTAATTTGACCCACTAGTCATGTTTTGCGTCCTTATTTTCCTCATCTTCAAGCTCTAAACATGTGAGAGAGAGAGAGGAGGAGAGAAATTGGGATCAAGGGCTAAAGAAAAGGGGATTGCTAGGATTCTTGGTGAATTAAGGAGAATTGGAGAACTCTAACTCCAACACTTGTGAATTCAAGTCTCTAGGTAAGGAATCAAACTTTTAGTTGTGTAATTGAGCTAGATTTTACAAGACTTCAAATAAATTAAATGAATTCATGTAGGATTTGAGGTAGAATTGAAGAAGATTGAGCCATACCATGCATGCATGTTCATTTCTTCATAAATTGAGCATGAATTCAAAGAATTCTTTCATGCATGTGTTCATTTCAATCACATTTTGAGAACTCATCATGTTTTCTACCAATTTGTCTAAATTGATCATGTTTTAGGGATGATTGAGTTCAAGGAAATGCATTCCACGCTTGAGCGACCACCTTTATTTTCATACCTCTGCTCGAGTGACAAAAGGTTGGCTCGAGCGTAAATTGCATGCTTTTAGAAGTTGGCGTGTTTGGAAGCACGCTCGAGCGACAATACTTGCGCTCGAGCGAGGACTTGTGACTCACGCTCTAGCGAGCGTCAAGCGACCGTCGAGTGGAAATTGCACGCAACCAGAACTTTTTCACATTTTATAGACCACTCAAGCGAAGGAGTGTGCGCTCGAGCGACCACTCACATTCGGTATGTCCGCTCGAGTGAAGAAAGCTACGCTCGAGCGAGACCCCTGTTTTTAGCAAGTTTTGAAAAACATTTTCAAGTGCAATTTTGTAACCTTATTTCATCCTAGGCATTCCTAGGCCATGATTAAGACATCATAATGGGGTTAAAGGCTAGAAACACACTAAGAAAAAATAGAATAAGCTATGTTCAATCTAAGCGTGTGTATTCAATGTATGTGTCTATCATGTTATGTAGGTCACGTGGCTCAAGATAAGTGATTTACCTACTCCACTCATCTATTTGGAGCCGCCGATTATCTATGAGTAATAACGCTGTAAACTTATGTTTAACTTTAATTATCTTCTGATCATATGAAATGATCAGTTTTTTGAAATGCTATGTTTTGCATGAATGAATGATTGTCCAATTTTCTTTGAAACGTTATTGTGGTATCCTTAACAGAGGCCCTAGCCCAGGGGATATAATACCGTGTCTTATGGTCATGAGGCCCTAGCCCGGGGGATAATACCGTGGCCTAGGCCCTCGCTTGAAGGAAACAATACCGTGGCCAACGTATGAGATATGTTACCCGGTATCGGAGGTTCCTTTATGAAACTTGATATGCTTGACCAAAGAGACATGTTATGCTAATGGATATATCACACATGATTTGAATATGAATAAGACTATAACTCTGTTTCTGCTACCTGATTATGATTCTAATTTGCTATGAGATTTGAAATATGTTATGGGCATCATTCATTAAAATCTTTACTCTGTTATTATTCATTGGGCTCCAGCTTACTGTATTATTTATGTATATAGGTGAACAAGCATGTGACCAGACCCAGAGTTGACGGCTTATGTTTTAGTTTTGTCAGCCAACCTTTGTGCCTCTCGAGGAGGTTCCAAATGAAGTCAAGTTTTGTGGCTGTTTTTGTAATCATAACAGACTTTGTTTGTTTTGTTGAGTTTTGGACAAGATGCCTCATATTACACTTCTAGGAGTGTTATGTAAATGTTATATCTTTTGACACCACTCGTAAGTTTATAAAAGTTTTAAATTATGCGTCTCATGTATGTCTTCACAGTTCAATGGACTATGTATATTTTGTATATTTGCTTCTGCAGCCCCTAACTATATGTTAATCTGTTAAGAGGCCTTTGGTAATCTAAGGGTTATTGGCCGGTTACGATACTAAACCCATGGGGGCAGGTTTGGGTCGTAACAAAGTGGTATCAGAGCACGAGTTATATCATACACACGAGTCCATATGAGCTATAGGATGTTTTAGTAAGAATATGGGCATCTCATCAACATGTATATGAGTGGGTTCATTAAAAAGAAAACTGAAATCGACCATGAATATGTGACGTTAAAATGAATGTTTTGAACATTACGAAAAGGACTATTGGCCTATGTTTATTGCTCTTTTGTTTCCATATATCCATGGAAAATGCAAGAAGTGATGATACAGTAGGGTCCTCGGAGGGCCGAATGAACAGAATGGAACAAATGCTCACAGCTTTAACTGAGGTGGTAATGCAACAACAGAGGCAACAACCTTTATCTCTTTTACCTCCACCAGCCCAAGTTGAACCGGACAATAACGATATTATTAATCTGACTCAGAAGTTCATGAAAATGAAACCGCCAACCTTTCTTGATGGCATTGAACCATTAAAGGCAAAAACTTGGCTGCTGGAGATGGGAAAGTTATCTGTAGTATTCCCTTGTTCTGAGGTTCAGAAGGTTCTCCTGGCCACTTATACACTGAAAGATAAAGCCCGAAGGTGGTGGTTGTTAATCCGAAACAGTAATGGGAATATGACGTGGGCACAATTTAATGCAATCTTTTATGATAAGTATTTCCCTCAATGTTTCCGAGATCGGAAAGTTTCTAAATTCCAAGAACTTAAGCAAGGGAAGATGTCTGTAGCTGCGTATGAGGCTAAATTCATTGAGTTGGCTAGATTTGCTCCTCATATGGTTGACACGGATTATAAAAACGCTCGGAAATTTGAAGGGGGATTAGACTTGGAAGTGTATGACCGGGTAGGTGTGCTGAAATTACCTACATATGTTGACGTACTTGATAGAGCACTGATGGCAGAGGCCATTCTGGCAGCAAAGAAACAAACTACAGTTCCACCTGCTGAATGGAAAGGCAAGAGGACCGGGTTTAATTTCAAGAAGTGCCGATCATTTTTGAAGAAGTAAAACACAGGATCCTCCAGTAGCTTTGGTCGAAGTAGTGGAACCGTGCCAAACTGTCCAGATTGTGGCAGGAAACATAGTGGAGTATGCTATCGTGCATCTGGTGCCTGTTACCGGTATGATAAAAGATTGTCCATTGGGATCCGGGAATGCCAGTCACCCCGCAACAAGTTCGGCTGGGTCTGTTTCGGTGGCCAGACCAAATACCAGAACTAATGCCATTTGGGGAAACAAATGCACCAGCAGTTTTTATGGATCTAATGAACAGGGTTTTCAAACAATATCTCGATGAATTTATCATTGCGTTTATTGATGACATTCTGATTTATTCTAAAGACAGAGAAGAATATGAGACTCATCTGAGAACCACCTTGCAGATTCTGAGAGAAAAGAAATTGTATGCAAAATTGTCCAAGTGTGAATTCTGGCTTGACAGTGTGACATTTGTGGGGCATGTAATCAACAAGGATGGTATCACTGTTGACCCTCAGAAAATTAAAGCTATTGTGGACTGGCCTAAGCCGACAAATGTAATAGAAGTTAGAAGTTTTCTGGGATTTGTTGGTTATTACAGAAGATTTGTGAAAGACTTCTCAAAACTTGCAATGCCATTGACACAGTTAATGCAGAAGAATGTACAGTTTGATTGGGATGATCAGCGTGAATCATCCTTTCAAGAGTTGAAAACCAGATTAGTGACCGCACCAATCTTAACTTTACCTAATGGTAATGATGGGTTTCAAATTTACAGTGATGTTTCATATAAAGGGTTGGGTTGTGAACTAATGCAAAATGGAAAGGTAATTGCCTATGCTTCTCGACAACTTCGACCACATGAAAGGAATTACCCAACGCATGATCTGGAATTGGCAGCAGTGGTATTTGCTTTAAAAATCTAGCGACATTATCTATATGGAGCCACATGCGAAGTGTATACTAACCATGAAAGCCTCAAATATTTCTTCACCCAAAGGGAATTGAACATGAGACAGAGAAGATAGTTAGAGCTAATCAAGGATATGATTTGTAGATTTTCTATCATCCAGGGAGAGCTAATACTGTGGCAGATGCCTTGAGCCGGAAATCCATAGGAAATTTGGCATGTTTGCTCACTAGTCAGAAAGAATTACTGTGTGACCTGGAAAGGAATGAGATAGAAATTGTTTTGCGGGAACAAGGCGGAATTTTAGCTGCCATTTCCGCGCAACCTACAATCATTGAAGAAATTAAGGAGAAGCACCTCGAAGATGAGTACTTGAAATAGATTGTGGAGGAATTTAACTCAAAACCAAGGCCAGGGTTTGTGATTGAAAATAATGTGCTGAAATTTCAAAATAGACTTTGTGTAACAAATTCCTCCGATTTGAGAAAACGAGTGATGAGTGAAGCTCACAATTTGAAATTTGCCATGCATCCGGGAAATATGAATATGTATCATGCTTTGAAACAGAATTTCTGGTGGCCTGGAATGAAAAAGTGTATTGCAGATTATGTGGCTAGATGTTTACACTGCCAACAAGTTAAGGCTGAACATCAACAACCCACTGGTTTGCTACAGCCGCTTCCAATACCAGAATGGAAATTATTTTGGTAAAAAAAAATAATAATAAATGTCTAAAAGATTTATTAATTTTACATAATTTTATTTTTGGTAGGTAGAAATTATTTTTAAAAATTCAAAAAAAAAATTGATTTTTATTTTTGTCAAATTAATTTATATTTTATCAAATTGACGATTCTGTCCTTGAAATTAAGTAATGGTATCTTCAATTGTCTTTATTTGAAACAAAATTCAAAATGTGTCATAACTGAAAAGTTAGAAATTAAAGTGACATAATTCCCAAACTATTAGAACTACTAATGTAATTCACCCTTTAAAATTGGGCAAATTACATATACACCCCTCCAGGTTTGGTTAAATTACAGATACCCCCCTGAGGTTTCAGAAATTACATCCCGCCCCCTGAGGTTTGTATTTTCATAACAATTTACCCCCTGAGGTTTATATTTCATAACAAATTACCCCCTAATTTCTTATGCAAATATAGCATTCAAGGGGGAATTCGTAATTTCTCAAACCTCAGGGGTATCTGTAATTTTGTCAAACCTGGAGGGGTGTATATGTAATTTGCCCTTTAAAATTTGAATGTGATGCCACTCATTACACCGTTGAAGTCGCTAAACATATTGGGAGAAATCGCTTTGGGGTTTGGGTATTCAAAATGGAGAAAGTTGATATGGAAATTTTCTTATTTTGAAATTACTTGATTTATGGGATTCTCTAAATATTCAAAAAAATTAGAATAAAATCCCTTTAGCAAATTTTGAACAAATGTGTAATTTTAAAATATGAATATTTTAGCTATTTATGGAAATTTAACTAGCATTCTGAATGTAAAATATAGGATTATTTTGTCATTTTCACATAAATAAGACTGTTGAGTTCATTAGATTAAGAAAAATGCTAGAGGTCTCAAATTTTTTACCAAATAAATGACCAAATGTCTCACATGGGTGTGGAGTCCACAAAATTGCGGATCCCACACCCATGTGAGACATTTGGTCATTTGTTTGGTAGAAAATTTGGTGTCCCTAGCATTACTCTTAGATTAATATCCATAGTTGGGACTGTTGGGTTTATATTAATTGAGTTTAATTGACTAATATGGACACTATATATTAGGTTGAAAATTTCTTAAGTGCTATTAATCTTTGTATTGGATCAGTTCATACGGAACTTTATTCTAACTTTAATTGGGCCCCACTATTGAATGGTGGGATTGATCTCCTAAAAATTAGTTAAAATATATACAAATTGGTCCGAACACCCTAAACTATTAATATATATATATATCAACCCCTTTCTAGAAAACATCAAAAAAAATTCTTTGTCGCTTTAAGAGGACCACCCAAAAAAAAAAAAAAATTTATTTTAATTTTTATGATCATCACCAAATAATAGAGAGCCAATCTATCATTTTCCTCACAACAATAATCGCGCAAACAAACGCGCAAGTGGGAACTTGTACAATGTGTTTGATGCGCAAGGTGGAAGCAAAGGAAAATATACAGTTGGTTTGGTTTACATTTTTAGGATTTATTTTTTAAAAAATTAATTTTTTTTATTCTTTATGTTTTTTATTTTATTTTTACTGAATTTTTAAACATTTTAAGTAATTTTTTAAAAAAAATTAGAGACATCTAATATAAATACATTTAAAAAGTATAATATTTGTGAAAAAAATCTTTAGAAAACTCACTAACTACCAAAAACAAAAATGCCTAAGACTCCCAGTGGGGGTCACTGGGGGTCATGTACGGAGGCTTCCCATTGGTAAAAAAAAAAAATTTGTTTTGTTTTTTTTTTTTTTTGTGATTTGGACGAATGGCACGCTGCCACCTCACTGGGGGTCTGTAGCAAAGTCCCTACCAAAAATATACCCAAAAAAAAAGCCAGAATTCAGTATATTTTTTACATTCTTGTGTATTTATTAATTTTTTAAAATATCTTTTACAAACATTTTACTTTTTAGATAAATCTAAGTAAGGTGTATCTAAAAAAATTTTAAAAAAATAACTTAAAATTAAAAAAATATTCACTAAAAATAAAAATAAAAACGAAAAATAAAAAACTTAGAAAATTGAAACCAAATATACTGACTAACACTTTTCTTTATTTGCTTACAAGAGAAAAATAGAGAGGTAAATAATAAAAGAGGAAATATGGGATAAATTTTTACTAGATATCTAGAAAAAGAAAAAATAAAATAAAAAAAGTGTTTTAAATTTAAGAATATCCTCAATATGACTCATGTCAGACCAAATTTAAATCTACGCAACACATTCAATTTATTAACACTTTTTTTAGTATTTTTTTTCTTCCGGATAAATAAGATTTCAAATTTTCTCCGTCTCTTATTATTAATTTTATACAATTTCTAGTAATTTAACATTTAATTTTAAACAAACAGAAAATAAAAAATATATTTTAAAAATGTTTCTTTCTAGTTTCCTTTGCTTTTCCTCTGGTGTATTTTCTGGGAAATGTGAAGGATGACTCCAGAAAATGTAAAGGGTCTCATTTAGAAATATGTTATTTTTAGTAATTTTTTAATTTTTTACGAAAAAATATGTAAAAAATAAAAAGAATAATATGATAACTCATAATGACATTTTAATTTTTTAACTAAAATATGTTGTTTCCAAACGTTGTCTTAGGGGGTGACGTGGAGGTTGAGCATCTATTATAAATTCAGTATCTCATTACAATACTCATAACATTTGAAAAAAAAAAGCATAATTGAGAGAGAAGGGCTTTTTGTAACTGATGGCCACTCCAATAGCTTCCTCCACCTCTATTAGTTTCCTCTCTTATGTTTCTCTTTTCCTTCTTCTTTGCTCCTCAAAGAATGGCTATGCTTTGGGTGGTGGAGAGAAAAAGGCTTTGCAAAGCCACTTTCATACAGTTCAAGTCAACTATTTTTTATCAGCTTTTGTTTGCAGCCCTTCTACCAAAGGTTATTTATATCAATAACTCTCTCTCTCTCTCTCTCTCTCTCTGAGTTTTTTTTTAACAACAATGATTCATTTCCCCTTTTCCTCCCACCCCCTTTGACCCCCTCTCTCTCATTGGTTACATTTTCTTTTTCTTTTTCTTTTTTTTCCTACTCCTCCAATCACCACCTGCCACGTGGCAAAGGGGGGTAAGGGGTGACCCCCAAAAGGGGGTCCCAAACATTATTCTTTTTTTAATAAACTCACGCTTTTTTCAAATTAATTTTCCAAACCCACTTAGATTTTAAATGTTTCCTAAACTCATGTAATTTGGGAAATTTGTTTGAAAAGAGCATGGGTTTGGTAAAAAGCTTCTCAATATTAAGAAAGTCTCTAGAATGATTATTTAGCAGTCTTACAACAATCCTTCACACAATTTAATATATGGGACTTATCATATTATCTCTCAAAATTTAAATTAAAAGTATTGAATATCACAATTTTAGTCA